TCTCTTTTTTTGTATTTTTTTATTCAAAGGAAAGATGGGAAAATATATAAAAGGGTGGCGGAAAAAAATGACAAGAAATGAAACCTTACTCAACTTTTACTTGGAAAGCTGAGTGTAGTCTTGGACTGACTCGCTCTAATACCATGAAGAAGTTTCTAATATAATAAGAAAATCTCTAATGGTAAAATTCTCATGATAACATAGTAATAATACAAACAAAGACATCATGATGCATTAAGGTCCCCTTAGTCCACGATACAAAAGCCTCTGTGGGTTTTGCACGTTTATTTCTTTTTATTCTTTTCTTACATATGAGTAACCCTATCTATAGGGTGAAGGATACATAATATAAGGAAAAAACAATTAATTAAAAATCTTGCTATTAATGAGATTACAGTCAATATCAAGGATTTTCTCATGATTTGATCATTCTTTATAATGGCATGATATTCCTTTCTTCTATAATTGGATCCTATTCTTTCTTCCTTTTATATTAGGATAAATCATATTATGATTTGATCCTCTTTATACCACATGCACAATTTTCACCATTTTTCACCATTTTTCACATGATATCAAAGCTCACATCTTGTCATGGGTAACCTGTTGTTAACGCACTTGATAGGACCAGAAGTTAATATTAGGTCTACATGTAAGGAGACGTACTAAGTCACGTAACATGACTCAACGTTTATAGTGGATCTGCATGTGAAGGAGTATGTTGAGTGGAAAAATCTCACATTAAGTGCATAACAAATAAGTATGTGGGTTAAATATAAGGAAGGCTACTTCACCTATTACCAATTGATTTTAAGTTGGATGTAAGCATTGTGTTGAAACCCACGTGCATAATTTTCACAATAAACCCCTCCAAACTGTCATCCCTATAGGAAACTTTTTCAAATTCTTGATATATATAGTATTTAAACATACCTAATTTAAAATTTACTTGTTTAAGCTTTTTCTCTTTTTCCTTTAGTCTTATTTGCTTTAAGTTTGTTAGTCTTTAGTCTTTCAGTCATGTCTAATCTAAAAAAGGCTTGGGGATTTGGATGTAAGAAACAGAAAAGAAAATGGTGCGGTCCTCAGTTAAAGACAAGACATGAGACAACTTCAAAGGTTGGAAAATGAAACCCAAAAAAAAAAAAGAAAACCTGCTTTAGATATGCTTCACAACTTTACTAGGGCCTAATGCACTTCCTTTTTTTATAGGATAGGCAAATTGATAGCAACTCTCGTGGAGAAGAGGGGTGGGAAGGGGAATAAAATTTTCAATAATTTAACAA